ATAATCATTCTCTCTATTATCTTTTAGACATATAAATACAGTGGGCATTTCCATGAAGTAAAATTCTCTTGAACTTTGTGTATTTATTTTTGATCAGATATTTATAGGAATCTAATATCCACTGTACTTAAGAGATGAGAAACTGTAGCTATTGCTAAAAATACAAGTGATAGGAAATTAACTGCAGTTAAAATGACCTGACCTAAATCCAGTGAACATTTCTGGGGCTAGCACAGGATATATGATATATTCATAATGCAAGGTCAACAACAATTCAATGCAAATTATGTTAGAGATCCTATTATTTATTATATTTTAGTGAAAAGGACATAATACTACCAGATAAGCAATAAATATATGATATGTAAAAATATCAACAAGTGATAAAAAAAATCAGCACAGAGGCACTTGATCTTGCATGGATGAATCATATATGGTTGATGATGTTCAACTTGCACCTTTAGTTTTGGATTAGCTGCAACAAGATAGCAAAGTTTGTAAATGCTGCATAAAGTTGCAATTCCAAATATGCTTTCTTAGATACAGTTTCTATTGAATTCGGTGAAATTTACTTTGAAATAAATATACTTAGGGCATAGATTTGAGGTAACGAACAACAAAATGTAAATAGGTATATGAGGGAGGCTGCAGTTCTGCATTTAGAAGAAGTATCTCTCTTTGAACTCAGATGGCATTTACTTCTTTTTTTTTATTAAATTTTTTATTGATTTTTCAATTAAAAACAATAACATAAAAATGATGCATTTAATCACAATATCAACCAAGAAAATGTTCTTGGTAGATGGCATTTACTTCTGAGTAAACATGGCTAGGGTTATCTTAGTCGCCTCCTGACTATCAGTCTATTTCAACTCTGTAGGGACAAATGCAGAGCATCTTCTTTTCTCTCTTTAGTTATTTTAATTGAGGATATTGTACCCTCCAATAGCAGCCTATTTAAGACTCCATTATCTAGGATTAATCTCTGTATTTCTAAAATTTCATTATACATTAAAGAAATCTTTCAGTCCCGTTTGAAACTGTAGTGGGTTTTAAGATAATCGCGCTACAATTGAACTTGTCACTTTCTGTAAAGTCATATAGTTTTCGTCGTCTCTGTTGTAAAGGGCACTGGGGCTACTAGGATGAGTGTCAAACGGTGGAAAGCGAGGTTATCTTAGACAGAGCCATCTGACGTGAGCTTGAAACCCTAGTCCCCGTTAACACTGCCCTCCATTCACCATTAAGGTACTTTCGTATCTCTTATATGGGACGGTCCTATCGGGAAGGCTATAAATGTCCAGAGGAATATTCAAATTTCACTGCTGGCAATTCGACATGTATCACTTGGTCTATTGTTCATGTTGCTGCCGAAACACCTTTTAGTAAAACGGGGCAGAAAATAACTGATGAGGAAAAGAGGAGACGGGCTCTGTAAGCATTTTCGTTCCTACTTCTATGCACCCTCCCTTCACCCTCCTCTTCGGTCCCGCTTAGTAACCGAGAGTGCCAACCAATCCTCAAACTGCCAGCCGGCTTCGCAGCCTTGCCATTGGCTGCTTCTGTTGGAGACCTTTTAGCGAATCCCCGCGCTCGTTGCTTCTTCTCAGACAAAAGACAAGCGAGGGGGCTCTCGCAAACGGGGCTAACTAATCTGCACTCCCCCTCCCCCTTCCGACATTCACTTTCCTCCACCACCCAGCCGACCTGGCGTCCATCCTGGAAGCGAGCCAGAAACGGAATATGCAACTTTGCCTTTTCTTGAAATAAGAAGAAGCGGAGAGGAAAAGTGGAAATGCACACATGTATTCAACCGAGAAAAAAAAAACCCTCCCTACCAAATAATGCTGTTTCTCCAGATACTATAATAAAGCACGCAGGCCCTCTTCTGTTACAAAGAACTTGGAAGTTTTAACAATGTATCTAAAGCTATTTGAATATCTGCTTAAACAACTAATCTCCACCTTGAGCATAATAAGACATATGGACTTTAAAATACCTAAACCAGTGGACATCTTCAAGGATAGCAACAAGCTGGTCCTGGAATTGAATTTTCTGACAACTTTGTCATTGTTAAACTAAAGCAGATTCTCATCAAGAGACTTTGGCATAACCTTAGTGCAAAGTGAGGATGTTGGCTAGATGATATGTTAAATCTCAGTTTCTAATTAGAAACCTAATTAGAATGACTGCAGGTGTCATTGACTTTTCTCCAGTTGTAAATAATGGGCATGATAGACCAACACTTCCATCATGTATATTCTATAAAAACATGAAGCAAAATAAATATACATGTACCAGATGTGACTGGGCAGATAATTCTTCCATATGATATCCTTATTACACACAAACAATCCTGCAAGGCTTGCCTATGGATCACAAATATTACAGTGAATAATCATCTCAATAATTCATATGTGCTACAAGAGAATTGTGGTTATGGGAGATGGGGAACATTCTGATTCTCTATATACAAAAAATACATCACAAACATAATGGATGAAAGCAAGTGTTGTTACTACATTATTCTTCAGTACTTATAACCATTCTTCCAAATATTAATGCTTGGGCAATGTCATATGATCAAATCATGAACATAATAAGATTTTGAATATTTAAGGGACGCATCACTGAAAGTTAATAAACCTCAATATCTGAATGGGGAGAGCAAAGGAGCCATGGTCTCATCAACTTTATATATATATAAGGTCAAATTCTATGTTGGAAAGGAATTTTAACTAGTGTAATGTGAACACATACTTTTTACATTTGGGGAAATGAGTAACATATTCTGCCAACTAATCATACTTCTTGAATTTGACAACAATCCAAGCAGACAGCACCATTACAATGAGACACCAACGGTACATCTTCAGAGTAACCCAACTGATGACAATAAGATTTACTTTAAATAAGAATACAGCTCTGAGCAGTTGCATAGTTTGTAAGTCGCCTGTCAGCTACACATTAACTTTAATCATAATTCTGAAGTACACTGAGACACTGGTAGGAGTCCATGTGTTTGTAAGCCTGTATCACAAATGTTTAAACATAATTAAAGAATGACAATATTTTCATTTGACCATCCCTTGCTGTACACAGGACATACATTTGAACTTGCAGTTTGTTAGAGGTAAAAGAAATACCAACTGTTCAAAGCCTTTTCAACTTCAACTACTACTATCACTAGTCATGAAAACCCAATTTACAGTGTACTTTCCTAACTCTGTTTTTCCCTTTGAAAAGCCAACTTCCTTCTATTTATGCATGGAGATTTACTGTATACCTGTGTGAATTGTTACACAAGACTAGAATAAAATACACTGAGTCCTAGTTTCAGTTTTGATAGTCATATTTACACCTAGTACCTAAGAATATTAAAGTGCTTAAATTCAAATTCAAATTCAAATTTAGTTATTAGCTTGATACCCAGTGGACACTTTTCACATTCTAAACTACCATATGTGTATCATTCAAAGCTATTCATAAAGTACACATGTCTAGAGTTTCCATATTTTACATCAGTCATTCAAATGATGGACTGTTGAGGGTGACCTATCATATATTATGGATACTATACACACATAAATCCATACTGAAATATTAAGCACATTCCAAGTTCTCCCTGCTCTTTGTGTATATTAAAGAGTCATACAGTCACTAGTGCAACATAACAACATCATCTGCAAACAGTTCCAGCCCCAGCTGCAGGCACACAACCCCAAATATTGTCTATATACCAACTGAAAATGCAGGAAATAGGTGGTGAAAGATAACCTACCATTTACTTTGCTACGCGTTGTCAAATCATGACAGGAATCAAGTGGACACTTTGGGGGGGGGTGTTTGCATCTTTTATGTGCCGTCTGAGAAGAAAATGGGGGGGGGGGGGAAGCGGGAAGAAGGGTCTCCTATCTCTGAATATTCTGGCAACTTTACCGCTGAGCACGGGGCTATACGTTCAGCTGGCGCAGACGGGTGATGGAGGGGCATCTGTCGCCAGCTGCTCCAGCTGGAGGCATAGCTTCCTCGCATCACTGCCACTTGCACTATATATATATATATACATACATATACATACATATGAAATCTCAAAAACAATTAGAGGTAAAACTGGAAGCCGACTCTCCCGCTCTCTAGCAGCTTTTGTTTCCTGGCACGGCCAGGGTACTTCACCAGAAGCAAAAAAAAAAAAAAAAAAAAATAGGAAAGAAGGAAGGAAGGAAGCCTTTCGGCTCACTATCTTATCCGAGCACGAGCGGGTTAAACTTAGGGGGCGTGGTTTCGCTCTCGCTTTGCCCTCTCCTTTTCCCACCTCGGAGGCGGGGCTTATGCCCGGCATAGAGGCGGTTAGCGACGGTTGGGGCCCTGGGTGCCTCTTTAAAATGAAACTGGCCGGGGTTGGGAGTAGCCGAGCACCAAAGTGCGCGCGGAGGCTGAGGCTGGGCTTACGTGGAGCGAGAAGCCGGTCGGGAGCCGCTGCTTGCAGCAGTGGGCGCCGCCGAGCGCGGGGCTTCGAGGGGGACGGAAGCGCCGCTGAACCGGCGGCGGTGGCGGCGAGCTTTGCCCCGAGGGGGTAGAGAAGCGAGGCGCGTCGCTGGCTTTAGGGAACAACGGGAGGGTTTTGTTATTAATCGGCAAAGACCTGTCTTAAAACTTTGCTTTTTAAGAACAATCGCGCGCGCCCCCCCCCCCCATATCTTCTCACTGCCTCCAAGCAGCTCCGTTTTCCCAAATTTTGATCTCGCTCATCTTAAAAACATTCTTTTTTGTCAACCCCCCCCCCCCAGATCTTTTATTTTGGATTTGCGAAAGAAGCTGAAATAAGCGGCTCCGTTCCCTCGAAGCAAAGGGGAAATTGAAAGAGGGGGAGGCATTTCTTTCGCTTCCTGAGAGGGGAGTGGTTTTCCTGAAGAGGGAAGCCATCGAGCTATTCTTAAGAAAGTTTCTTCTCTACTCGCCTCCCGGTTTTTTTTTTTTTTTGTTTTTTTTGTGTGTATGTGTGTATGTACGTGCTTCGGGAGGCTAGGCTTTATTTCGTGCGGTGCCAGACTTTTTATTTTTTGAAAAAGTAAAGGATCTGGCGAGAGAGCTCCGAGCGATCGTCGCCCACCTGCCTGTTTGTCACAATGTACAATACAGTGTGGGATATGGATCGCGATGATACGGACTGGAGGGAGGTGATGATGCCGTATTCCACCGAGCTGATATTCTATATCGAAATGGACCCTCCAGGTAAAAAAAAAAACAGTTTTTAGTTTGTGTTCAGGTTTAGAGTCGTGATAGGCTTCTTTTTTTTTCTTTTCCCAGCGTCAGCCATCTGCAGAAGTTCATTGTTCTCTTTTCCCCAGTGGTGCAGGCTTTAGCTTTCCTTTCTGAAAAGGGGGTAGGGGGGAGAAAGAGAGAAACCTATGCTTGAATGGAAGCCTGTAAACTTTGCTCTTATTCTATTGTGGTCACCGTTTTCAAAAGACTATATTTTGTAAAGACTCTAAATTCCAAAATCTAGGACATCCGGTTTTCCTGTCCTTCAAAGTTCTATTTAGTGGATTTATTACCTACATTACACTGTAATTTAAGCTGCAACCTTTTTTTTAAAAAAAAAGAGTTGGTTGATGTGCCAGCGAACTAAATATTTAGCTGTAAACATTTAATACTGCTATTTTCTAACACTTTCTAGTTTTCAAATCTATATTGGGTGTTCTGGGGGGGGGGGAATCTAGTGTCCAATCCTGTGCTTCTTTATTTGAAAATTTGTCCCACTAAGTTCAGTGGGCTTTTAAGACTAAGTAAGGATGCACATCATCAAGTTTAAGTATCTTAAAACGGTTAAAGGTATTATAATATTTAATGTGAATATTTCCATTGTTTGAGAAGTATTATTCTTACTTTGCTCTCACATAGGGCTTCTTTTGTGCCTAGGAAGGAATAAGATACATGAGGAGCCAGAGGTTGGTTGACTCTCTGGTGATGTGTTTAGAAATATGATTATGAGAGTTTCACAGTTCTTGAAGCTTCTGCTTTGATGAAATCTTCAGTATGAAAAATGTATCTGTATACATTTTCTTAAACATCATTTTTGTTTAGGAAAAAACAATATTGAAATAAAAATTTTAAATGGAGAAACCATTCTTGCCATTACTTGGTATTATTGCTCATGGGGGGGTGAAGATGGGGTGGTCATATTGTAAAGCAAAAGTAATAACAGAAATCATCATTGTGAAGCAGATGTAATAGCATTATACTTTAGACTTTAACCATGGTGATGATGCTTGTTTCTCCTTCATACATTTCTCTGGAGAAAAGCATTCATTAGGTTACTAAGAAAACTTAACTGTCTGAATGCATGTTAATAAGAGAATTTTCAGGTATCCAAAGTTTATAAAACTAGTGCTTCAATATTTCAGTGAGGTTTAAGCCTCTGATTCTTATAATCTGGGTTTTTTTTAGAGTAATCTTCTAGATATTGAAAAACTATTACTGTGGTTCTTTCATTAATATAGTATTGAATTAAGAAGAATTTTCTTAAAAGTAATCATATGTAAGAATTCTGCTGATCACTAAATCAAATGTGCTCAGTTTTTCCCTGTTTTCTTACATGCCATGAACTTTACAGGCTATTATCTTCGTTTTATTAATATTTGGAATTTGGTAGAAGTTGTGGAACAGTATGGCAACAAAATTAGGTACTGTAGAAGTTTAGAGTAACTCAGATTGTTAAAACTCTAGAAATTTTTATTTTAAAACTTTATTTTTAATATATCTTTTCATTTCAGTTAAATCTCACTTTTTAAATGAGATCTGCAAATGCATTTAAGTAATCCAACAAAGCTAAAATTCATTGTAAAGCTAGACTGTTACATTTATATAGTCTTTCTAGGATACAAGCTTTTATAACTTAGAGAAAAAAAAGTTGTATTTCTTTGAAATAAAATGCAAATGAAGCAGATTCTGCATGGGATAATTTTGCAATGTTCACTCCAACTTTAAGATGTCTTAAGGATAATACAAGTTTAGATAGCAGAATGTAACAGCTGGTAATGGAGGGTGGCATTAAAGTACTGGTTATAAGTTCATATTTTTAGCTGTGAGCAGGTAATGCTGCTTCTAAGAATAGAGCAAGCAAATGATTAGAGTCCTCCTTATTCCCACCCAAATTTTGATGCTTCATCAGACATTTATCTTGTTTCTTTAAATCCATGAGAACAAGTAACTTGTTCCATGGGTTTTAAAGAAATTGTGTTCTCTGCAAGAGCCATCTGTATGCAGCAATCCTATGGCTGTGTGAAACAACATGGTTCTTTACTGTACTTGTTATGCTTGGTAACTAGGTAGATTGTTGCAGTTCTGATAGGCAGCATGATATATCTGTACCTATAGGTGTATTCTTAATGTCCCTCAACTGCTTGTGCTCTCTGAATTTTTTAAACTGTTTTAATTAAAAATGGGAAGCTGGCACACTGTAATGTGAAGCTCCAGCCTATGGCATCATATTTGTTTAGAATAATTTCTCTGAGCTCCTCACAGGCCCAGTAGCTATTCAGAAGACTAATAAAAATGATAGATAGTACAGCTCAGTGTTTTGTTTGGAAGTTTGCTCACCTGTTCAGAAAAAAAAGACAAAGGTAAATTGGAGGGGTAGAGAACATTCTGGGGGATAGGGGAATAGGAGTGTGGAGAGCAACTTCATTTCTTTCTGTTCTGGTAAAATATATGTTTTGTGGCTGGTTATGAACACTGTTACAGCTATTTGATGAATAGACAAACTCCCCATCCCCATGTCAATCATTTTGTGAACATATATAATATGCTCTCAGAAATTTAAATATTTTTCTCAAAAAGTTCATTATGATCAAATGATTCAGATTTAAGCATCTGTCTGTTGAATGCAAGTCTTCATTTAAGCTTTAATAATACTTCTATTTGTGAATATAGAGCTTTTTTTTTTTTTAGATATGAGATGCTTTGGTGGGAGGGGAGCTTTTGTCAAGAAGGTGTTTCATTATAAAGTATATATCAGACCCTAGAATCATGTACTCCATTTACTGATTTGTTTAGACAAAAGTTTGCGATTTATAACAGGATAGTTTTATTAAAGCTTAACATTTGACTTCTTCAGAAAAGAACACTATATTCTGCATTTCAGAGGACTTTGTTGAGTGTTTACTAAATGCTTGAATAGTTAATACAAGCAAGTTCATGGAAAATGAGATGCAGATCTTAAAAGGGTTTTTTTTAGGTGCATAAATCTGATAAAGAAAAATAAAAACTAAATGCTCAGAGTAGAGAAAATAATATTGGAAGTAATCATAATGACTATTTGTGAGAATAGAATATTTGTCTGTTAATAATCCTTTAAAACATACATGTTGAATCTTTTAAAATTAAGACTTTTTAAAGCACAATTTAAACTGATTAATGCAGCACATGAGTGGAGAACAGAGATACACTGAGTAATTTCACCCCTGATGTCTTGGTTAATTAATTGTTCCTCTGATACCTGCATGTATGATGTAATCATGAAAACTAGAAAAAGCCATATTAGGGGTAGAGTACTCGAAATGACCCCATTTCTCTGCTTAATCATTGCCTTCCACTTCAAATAATGCCTGACTAGGGCTTTATTGGATTTAAATTCTTACAGCTAAGACAACTTCATCTTTTTTTTAAACAAGTTTATTATAATGCTCATTGTTGTTTTTTCTACCGCACTGTACAAATTGTTTGTCAAACGCAGGACTGAAAAGATGTAGGCCCAATAGTAGTAGTTTCCAAGATTTTTCTAATAGGTGAAAACTGTTGTGTATTTTAATTGAAGATTCTGGAGATGTACAAGAAATCAATGCATCTAGTCCTGATAGAGAAGCTCCACTCATTTCAGTGGACTAAAAAAATGCATAACTTCAGAACAGCAATCTGCATTGCTGATGACATAATTTACTTGTTTACAAAAGTGGTATGCCTTTTCAAATACTGATACTAACCAGTTTCCTACAATACAATGAAGTTAAATACAGTAGAATACAAACTAATAATTATTGAATGAGACGTTCAATTATCAATATCAAAAAGTAACAAAACCTGTTATAAAAATTCACCAAGTAACACACTTATAATTCAAACATAGCATAAAGCTTATCCCATAAAACCTATATGAAACAGCAGTATTTTAACTTCCTGAATTTTAACAGGAAGGGAGCCATTATAATTTCAAAGGTGGAAGGCAAAATGTTCCAGATGTTGAAGGCCATCTCAAAGGAGTATCGTTTTTTGGGAACCTATCTTACCTCTTTCCCAAATGGCAGGGTATTATAATTTCAAATCTGCTTGTTGAAAAAGAATGAACAGATTTTACATGGTGTCAAAAAAGCCCAGGACTGAAGCCTATATAAGACACTAGACAATCCATGACCCATTAGATCATCTTTTCAGAGATATTTCCTTATCTAAATAGAGAAACAGAATATGAAGAAGAAGAAAAAAATGGGAGGGGAAAAAAGCAATGGGAGTGGGAACCACTTTTGACTTCTTGTTAACCTGTCTGCAGCTGACTGCCCTACAGCAGCCAGTGGTGGTGGGTCCAGTCCACCAGCCTCCCGAGAGCTAGTGTGGGACTGGCCTACGTGATCTCCAGAGGCCAAAGGAGGAACCAGCCCACCTGGCCTGCAGAGAATTAGGGTGAGAGTGATTTTCTGAATCTCAGTGGTGGCAGCACGGCAGCACTGAAGCAATTTCAGCTTTGTCAAATTTCAATTCTGCGGGAGTCATGGTCTCAGATTTCAGACACATTTTGTATGTTAGACCATTTGAGGTACCTTGGTTCTAAAATTGTAGGTATATGTACTGTTCCACCTTGTTAAAGATTACAGACATGAGAATTTTAGTAGTACATAGATTAGATTGTACTTGGAAAATTGTAACCAGTGTAGCTCCCGTATTAAAGATGCAACTGGGCTATAATAGCTCTCACCTACTAATAATGAGCAATTGCATTTTTTTACCAGGTATAGTTCCTGAACTTCAAAGCTAACTCAATGTAGAGTGAACTGTAGTAGTACAACTACCAGGTGACAGGGATATAAAATACTGTTACTTGTGCTTCTCATTCCAAGAACAGACTCAGCTGGCACACCAACTGAAACTAGCAATGGCTCATGGATTCATGGTTCAGAAGGATTCCTGTTGCAGATAATCTTCTCTTAGGGAACTTCAAACCTACCCAGAGCTAAAGATGG